AACTCTCTGCATTCCTGCAGCCTTATCAGCTCTTAGAGCTGAGCTGGGCAAGGATCAAAGGGGGGAGCAGTGCTTGCGGGGGGGGGCATCATTTGAATGAGAGCATGGTCCCTTATCGCAGCTGTTCATCAGAGTTCCTGCGCTGTTCTGAAAGCAAAGATTGGTGACTAAACTGTAATAAAGTAATTGCTTTCTACTTTCTAAATTCCCCTGTAGTTCCCTTTAGGTTGTAGTGTTGGTTTTCACACGCTGACTTTTTCCTGGATTTGCTTTGTGGTTTTGGGTTTGGTTTTTTTTTTTGGGTGTGTGTGTTCTTTTTCTGTCCCTATGTCTTGGGGGGAGGTGTTGTTTGGATTAGTTTTTTTCTTTTTTAATGGTCTCCTAAACATTTCTATTCAAGCATTATTACCTTTCATTTCAGCTGAGAACATGATTGGTGTGGCTCCTCCTTCCTTTTAGCTCCAGCCTCCTTGGGAAGACCTACAAAACCATACTGGCTTTTCTTCAGTTCTTATCACTCGTCTGTTCTGGGACATCTTTTGCATGTGGATACATCTCATTCTGCTCCCCACTTCTAGGGAACGAACTCTGCACAAGCAGTATGTCAGTTCCTCGCAGTGCTATTCAGCCAGCCTGCTGCTTTTTGAAACCCCAAGGGAAACTCAGAAAATTCAGACTTGTCCACTTGCTAAACATTCTTCTTTTCACTTCTAGGTCCTCCTGTTGAGCCCCTGGAGCCAACCAGGCCTTTACCAACTCTTCCTGTTCGCAGAATTCACTCCACTTCAGAAAGAAAACATGAGAGACAGCCAAGGCCTCCTAGTCCTCCTTTGGGTGACAGGCCTTCTCCTCCTGGCACAAAACCAAACATTTGTGATGGCAACTTTAACACCGTGGCGCTCTTTAGAGGAGAAATGTTTGTTTTCAAGGTACTAAGAATTCCTGCTTACCCATGAGTCTTTAGTTTTATTGTTGGAAAAGATTAATAGAAGGCAGTGAGATTTGCAGTGTCTGTGAAAACAGTTCTGTTCCTCTGAGGCTGATGAATGACCAGTATTAGAAGGAAATATAAGCAGATCAGCCCTGTAATATTTGGAAACAGTGCCTGATGGGATTCACAAAATGTCAAGGCAGCCTGTGCACCAGAATGTGAACTGGATGTACTGGCAGAGAATTCAGACACCATCAGGCTCAGAGAGGAGCCACCTGTAAAGCCAGAAAGCAATACCAGTACCTAGCCTAACCTTGTCATCTCCAAATCTGACATGCATCAAACCCTGGGCTTCAGGGAGCTCTCAGCCTACCTGAAGCTCTTGGGAATTTTGAACCTTGCTTGTAAACTACAGCCAGAGAGGAAGGAGAGGCTTTGCTCAGTAACTCATGTTAGAGTGCCTGGAGTGTGGAAACCCATGGTCCCATTCCCAAAATACCTGTAGCTTTCACTCTGCCCAGTGAGTGTGAATGTAGAGGGGGCTATATTGAAGGTCATTAAATGGACAAACCACATCAGCTGCAGAAAATGACTGAACTGAAAATAGTTGAAGGCTGGGACAGTATCTGGGAGAAGTGTCACAGCCTTGTCCTGCTCCTACAAATCCCGGAGCATCCACTACAGCTTCAACCCATGATCACACATATCTAAAGTGATATTTGGACTGCTTTAGACACCGTGTGCTTCACACAGTCACCAGGTAATCTTGAGGCTGTATGGCTGTGCTGGGGTCTGATAGTTGTACCGGGACAGGTGTGACACCTCGGTGACAAGACATGCGGAGAGGTCACTCACAGATGAGTTCATAACACTTAACTGTGGACTTGCTTCCTCCTGCTCCTTGTTCCTCTCCTTCTTTCCACCCTTTTCCACAGCACCAGCAATCAACTTCTCACCCTCTGGGCTGCCATCTTCCCTCACTGGAGACAGTGTTGGGCTGGGTTGGAGCCGTCATCTGAACCAGGACTTGTGTCTTTAACGGTTACGGGGCTTAGGCAGGGATCAGTAATGCTTGATGCTGGACACTCAGCCTGATTTGACTACAAAATAAAAATACTCAGTCTGAAGACACTTCTGGTTTTCTTAGGATCGCTGGTTCTGGCGTCTGCGCAACAACCGAGTGCAGGAGGGATATCCCATGCAAATTGAGCAGTTCTGGAAAGGTCTCCCTGCAAAGATTGATGCAGCCTATGAGCGATCTGATGGAAAATTCGTTTTCTTCAAAGGTACAGTACATATCAGTACAAGCCTACCACACCTGCCTCACATCACACTCATGGCATGAAGATGGTGAAAACAGGTACACTGCATCCTTGTCCTTTTCCAAGGGGACACTGCAAACAAGTGCCCAAAATCCTTAAAATACAGCTTATTGCAGTCAGGCCTTGCCAGGACAATCTCTATATAAAGCTAATACTGATCAGTGGAAGTTGGCTCCCTAAATAGCTCCTATTTCCCAGGGAGTGTCAGTCTCCAGCCTATCTCCTTGAATATGTTGCAGCAGGGCATTAGGGCCTCTCCAGGTATAGCGCACGCCCAAACCACATTTCTAGATGAAAGGAGGAGACAAAATGACCAACCTGGACAGGATCCTGTAACCTGAGGGCAAGTTGTAAGCGGGAAGGAGGGTCTGGAAAGCATCGCCATGCCCCCATACAAAACCACAGTACCTGCTCTGCAGCTTCAGTCCCTGAGCTGTTTTAACTGTGTTAAAACTTGAGAAGGCTCAGAGAGAGGCCACAGAAATGATGGGGTGACCTCCTGCAAGGAACGCCTCAGCCTGAATGAGGGATGACAAAGACAGGGTATGAGAGAAGTCCTTGGAATCATGACTGGCCTAGAGAAGGAAATTTCAAGGTTTAACATTTCTTCCAGAACAAGAGCTGAGGAGCAGCAAATGAAGTCAGGAGGTTTTAGGTTCAAAACAAAGAGGAGGAGCAGCTTTTTCACATAATACAGCTGAGCCTGGAAGGTCTCAACATGCTGTGGTTCATTGTGGCTATTTTCTGTTTATAGAGATTCAACTACTAATTAGGGAAATTTGTTTGGTTTTTTGTGTCCCCGTTCATCTCTAGGCGATAAATACTGGGTTTTTAAAGAAGTAACAGCAGAGCCTGGCTACCCACACAGTCTGGTGGAGCTGGGGAGCTGTCTGCCCCGGGAAGGCATCGACACAGCTCTGCGTTGGGAGCCAGTAGGCAAAACCTACTTCTTCAAAGGCGACAGGTACTGGAGGTACAATGAGGACAAGAGAGCAACGGACCCAGGATACCCAAAGCCCATCACCGTGTGGAGAGGAATCCCTCAGGCTCCACAGGGAGCTTTTATCAGCAAAGAAGGCTGTATGTATCCGCAGTCATTACACCTCTTAGAGCAGTAATAGCCTGTCCACCTTGGGAGTTGGGTTGTTGGATGAGGGGTGTTGTATCTCCTGAGACAGGAATCAAATCTCAGAATTCCTAGGGTCACAGTGGCACTTGCAAGCACCAGCAGTCCTGAGATCCATCCTGCCCCGCATCCCAACCCATGTACCTCCTCATCAGCTAAACCACATTATCATAATGCCAGCTCTAGGGGATGGGAAGGCGACTTTTTCTGGGTTTGCTGCCACAGCAGTCCCTACCTGAGTTTCCCTGGGCCCTGATAGTGAGGATGCCATAACTTACATTTTGCCCCTGGTTTCTTACCTGTAGTGACCTCAGTCACTCTGTTACAAGCTCCAACCTGGCTGATGTATTTGGATCTTCCTGTGCCCCAAGTGGGAGGGTTGGACCACGAGAGGCTCCTTCCAACCCATTTATTTCTCTAGTCTGAGGATTTCTTCCTCCTCTTCCAGTTGGAAAAAGAACTAACAGAAGGGGCTTGTGCCACTGAGGCAGTGTTTAAATTTGGGGCTGCATTGAGATCATCTGGGCTGGGGTGGGCAAGGCTGGAGGACTGCAGTGGGAGCCAGCCAAGCTGAAGGACAGATGCAGGAGACCAAACACTTTCACCACTGTTCCCTTCTCCTTTTTTCCTGGTTTTCTAATCACTTGATTCAAAATCTGTTCCCACAGGCTGAGTGAACCTTAAATATTCTTCCAAACACTATTTCACCCAGACACACACACTCTGCAGATTATGATGTTAAGTGCTTGGTAACGACAAGCACGTATTTACAGAGGCTTTAGTAAAAAATAACAGTGCAGAACACTTTAAAGTTAGTTAGGTGGTTTGGTTTTTCTTTCTCACAGCTTGTCTTGGCCAAGGGGAATAGTGCTCTGTGGGCAGCACTGCGCCCACAAGCCAGGGTTACGGCTTGTCCTTTAAATCCTAGCTCCAAAACACCTTTACTTTTCAATGAGTTTGGGATGCCCCGGATGTGTTTTATTGGCCCAGGCAGCTACCACCTCCAGCTTTTCAGGCTCTGCACATCCTCACACAAGCACAGCTTATCTCGTTGGAAATGGTGTGGTGACAAATATTCTCTCTTTTGTCTCCTAGTTTATACCTACTTCTACAAAGGGAAGGAGTACTGGAAGTTCGATAACCAGAGGCTGAGTGTGGAGCCAGGCTACCCCAGGTCAATCCTCAAAGACTGGATGGGCTGTAACCAGAAGGATGTTGAACGAAGCAAAGACAGGCGCCTCCCCCACGATGATGTGGATATTATGGTGACAATAAACGATGTGCCTAGCACTGTAAATGCAGTGGCAGTTGTGATCCCTTGCATTTTATCTCTGTGTATCCTTGTCTTGGTATACACGATCTTCCAGTTTAAAAACAAAGAGGTGCAGCAAAATGTTGTGTATTACAAAAGACCTGTCCAGGAATGGGTATGACACAGCCTGCTGCACATTTCAACTCACTGAGCTGATGAGGACTACAGATGAGAAAAGAAAAAAAAAAAGCATTCAAAAGCCTGCCAAACAAAACTACTTCAGCGACCTACAAGTTTGGGACAGCCTGGGACCGAAAGAAGAAGGAAAACTGGAAAAAATACAGGCAGCCTTGCAGCATGGAGCCTCTTTCCTTCTTACTGCCTCAGTCACATGTCAGTCCTGGTGTGCCATCCTCCACAGGCTCACTCTGCTAACATCAGAGTTCCAGACAGGTTTCAACTGACCTGGGAAACTTCCTTCAGTTCCCTGCACCAGTGCTCCCTGTTAAACCCAGCATTCTCCAGTGTAGCTAAACCACCTCTGAACAGAACCATTTTTTTAATAGCTGTCTCGTAAATGAATTAAAATCGTGAAATCGATGAACAGGAACAATTCAGTATCACAGGCAGAAGACATTCTGATGCTGAACCATTCTAAAAGATCTTCTTAGTTTATTACAAAATCCAGGGAATTACCTGGAAACAATTTTCCAATTACCTGCTGGTCAGATGTTTTGTACATTCATAACTAATCAACGCTGAAACTCAGCACAGCGCATGAGGAATCGCGACGCACTCCAACAGGTAAAAGAGTGCAGAGCAGAAGCTCGAGAAGCACCAAACCAGACACCATAACGTTACCTGGCAACATCAAGCCCTAGATGGGGACAATCTGAAGGCAAAGTAATTAGGTATAAAAAACCAATCATGGGGAATACATGGTTTTGCGTTGGGAGCCATTCATGGAAGACATATTTAAATGTCATGTGGTGGTGTTTTAAGCTCCCATCAGCAAGAAACAATGAACCAATGGTTACTGATACACTGAAAAGTATGTATAGACATAGACTGCACTCTGCCCCTATTAAGTTGCTGGGAAAAGATGACTTGTTGTTACGTGGCATGTGTAACTAGATTGTGGAATTTGTACGTTGGGATTCAGGAGAATGGAAATGTTTGTTTGAAGTGAGATCGTCGTTATATTTTGCTGAAATAGTCAAGATACAGTAAGAATTAGGCCTGTTTATAAAACTAAATCCAACCCCTGTAGATGTTACAAACATTGTATGCCTTCGAAATTTGCTTTTTGTTTTTGCTTACTTCTTCACAGGCAAATATTTGGCAAGGACCAAAGGAAGAATGCCACACAGTAGAAGTAGTAGAGTTCCTCACTAGCCACGTTTGACAGAGACATAAAAACCAGGTAAAGGCCAGATAAATATCTGAACTTTCAGCTAGTGACGCTTCACACATCTCTTCCTCCAACAGTAGCTTCTGCTTACCCCTCCTGCAGTTGTGAATGGTTTAGGATGTGTCCTAACCACAAACAGAGTCCATTTTGTTGCTGATGCTGATATTTCTACCATGTTAAGTAAGAGTGGAGGAAGAGTTCCTTGGAATGCAGTGGCGAAGTCCAGCCCTGCACAGATGTGCCATTCCTGTAAGCATACAAACTGCTCTGCACGCTTGCTCTAAGAACAGGTGGTTAGCGTGAATCCTCTGCCCACAAGTGAATTTTGTTCAGTACAATGGAAGTGCAATGCACAGAATGTCCAGTTAGTGTAGAAGTTGTTCAGCTTTATGTCAGCTATGAAATAAATCCAAGGATGACAAACACACTAAATGATTCCTAATTACAATTATGAGGAATGAAGAAGCAGACTGATTCTTAGCATTCTGAATTTCTAACTAGTGCTCAAATATTGGCATGGTGAAGCAGGATAGACAAATAGATAACTTCTAGTGAAGCCCTCTAGGACTGCATAACATATGGTCTCAAGCTGTATTTTGTCCTTCATAACCGATTTCCATAGCCAAGCTGTTTATTGTGTTTAAACATTAAAAAAAATATAACAAAGTGAGACACCAGTAGATGCAAAACTTTGCATTTTAGTGAAAAAATGTGATAATGTCTCATGACGGGTGAAGGAGTGCAAAGGACCAAATGAAAACGGAGCTACTAATTAGACACCTCCTCCCCCCCCC